GTTTCACATATGTTGTGGTCAGAATAACCCGGGCTTACACTGATCGGAGCCCCAAATTCTTGCAAGACACATTTAAAAACGCCTGTTTTTGGGGGGTAAAAATACAGATTTCAGGAATTTCTGGAGGAAGCAATATTACTCACACATTTATTTTTTTGGCAGAAATGGAAACTTGGTGGTCATATCTTTCCATCAAACCCATAGAAGTTAAATTTTGTCAACGCATAATGGATTTGGAGGCAACAATAGTGAAATACGGCAAAATGTCCGAATTTAGGGCGCAAGTCCGAATTTAGGAACCATGACTGTACTGATATCGTTTCAACTCAGTTTCGCATATCACTTTCGATTCGTCACTGGGAGAGGCAATGTAGTGTTCGTCACTACGTTGATCATGCCCCCCCCCCCCCCCTCAGGCTCCTCGTAGTGGTGCGACACAGATGTTTCCCAGCTGCTATCACGTGAACTGATTGGTTTACGATGACGCCCTTAGCGCCGTCCGTGGCAGGTTATCTAATCTGACCGGCGCACTAAGGAGAGTGGGCGGCACTGACACACTGACACACGTAGAAGTGCTGGCGCAGCTTTACTTTTGTACTCTGTGGCTGAGGTAATCGGGACAAACTGAAAACAGAGAGAAAATTCTTCGGATGTTGATAAAGCATCCCGGTAAAGCTGAAATGCAGAAGAATGCGGGGAAGAAGAAAACGGAAATCGCTATGCTTCAACGTGGTGACTTCCGTTTTATTGGTCCCTGCCTTCTTCTGCATTTCAACTTTACCGGAATGCTTTATTATACAAAGGTGTCCCACAGGCATCCACAGGCATCCTAAAAAAACTAGGGGGAAGTAGAGCTCAAAATTAATTTCATGCTAAGACGGAATAAACTCGTTCTGTAACTTAAATTTGTCGCCCTTAATGTGGTGGGATTATCCAGAAAGTGCGTCCGTCATTTGCCATTCCGACATTGCCGAGTTCAGACAGTGCAAGGTTTAATAGCGCCTGATGGGTAGGCAACATCTTGCCTGTCGCGCGTGCGTGTAGTGCGGGGTTGTCTACCCTGAGTTTCGCAGGCGCCCAGGTCTGAGAAATACGGACGTACATTTTAGACGATCCCTACGAAAAACAAGTGCTGTTCTCAGTGCAGTGTTACAATATTTTCGGTGTCGCCGAACTTACACAGCGCGGGTAAACGCGAACTTAAGTGGTGGCGTATCTCCTACTTGTCATATCTCCCAAACTAATGATTGAGGGCGAAAAATAAGATAATTCTCGGATAACCCAGAGATTACAAATCTTTCAAAATTTGCGTTGCGTTCCGTTGAAGATACCACCTCGGATACCACGTTCTGGTGTCATTGGGGAGTACCCATATGGACCGCAAGTGAGAGAGTGTCACACACCTGCAGGCAGGAGCAGCGACAACATTCACAATGTTCTAGGTGAGTGACAAAATTTGTTGTCACACACCTACAGCAGTGTGAATTTCTTCACACATCTGCACACGAAAATCTTGTGAACTTTTTATTTATAGCGTATACAGAAACACACCCAAGAGCGAGCTTTTCTGAGGAGATGTTGCTGCGGTGGAAGCTTGGCTACCTGCAGCCGAGGGTCCGCGCAAAGGGATAGGCGGGAGGACACAGCCGGCCCATGTGTTGCGGCGGTAGCTGAAGAGGTAGTAGTTAAGAAGAGTTTCAATAAGAAAAGCTCGCTCCTAGTTGTGTCCCTGTATACTAAGTTCTGTAGTGCCTAGCTTACGTATTATTAATACGCCAGTATAAAGAAATTTGTTCATACAGGCGTATTATAAAATGCGTAAGAGCATGTTTACAGAACTCAGTAACATATGTCAGTAAGCTATGAATAAAAAAGTTCATAAGAATTTAGTGTGAGTTGAGCAATATTCCCGCGTGTAAACAATGCGGTACGGTAGAACTACACAAATAAAATACAGAGCCTCTCGGACACCCCGTACATGTCCAGCACGTAGTACGTCTCATAGATGGTTCACTAGTGCTGACATGTCGCGTGCACGCTAACGAATCGGATCGTCACGATTTTACCGCTTCTTTCTGGAGAGCAGCCCTTCGAGTTTTCTGATTGGTCAGCAAGAACTTTTCTTTTATTGGACATGTGGCCATTTCCACCACGGGCCGAGACTTGCGTAGAGGGGGGTAGAAATTGTGGGTGGGAAGGGGGTGGGGGGGTGAGGACCACTGACCACTGCCACGCACACTGTGCTTATCGGAACACAAACATGACCCCAGACCTCCGGGCTCGCCACCCCGTGACCCCTGACCCCTGGAGGGGCTGATCCTGACAGGCACGACTCGGCAGGTGCCGATCATTGTGACTGGACAAGGTCGCTGTGGTCGTGTCCGATGCGTGAGGCGCAGCTTGCGAGCCTCACTGTCCCAATGCGTTCAGCGGGCGATGCTGTGAACTTCCCTCTTCCGCTCCGCCCCGGGCCCGCCGGCCGCGCCGGGAGGTTCAGGTGCAAGTGCAGGCCAATGACCCCGGGCCGCGGGGTATGGGCGGGCTGCATGGGGTATCGACGCGGCGGGCCGCTGTGACGCTAGCAGCGGGCTCTGGCGGGAGAGCTTTCGGGATCAAATGCAAATGTATAGTAATGGCGGATGCCGGAAAAGCATCTAAACAGAACCAATCGAAGACTTTTCAGTGTAAAAACTTGCACGACTACTTGAAAACTTTACCTGCATCAACTTTGGATAGATTGTACAATCATCCAACCACATGTCTTGCAGTGTACAGGTGAGTTAGCCGGCAATGCACCGGCATGATAGTGAGGTTAAGTTTGTGTTATTCTTTCTCATTGGAACTTTCAAAGTTCTGTGTCGAAAGACCGAAAGCATAATCTTCAGGCAAAATACCACGGTTAAATTATTGGATTTTTTTTTCTATTGCACTTGGACTTGTATTTGCCACAAATCTGGTTAAATTGCCATCTTTATACTAAAAACTGTTCTTTTATTTCAGAGAATTGCCAGAAATCGGTCGACATTATGTGATAAGAATTTTGTTTGTTGAACAACCAGTTCCTCAAGCAGTTGTTGCTTCATGGTTGTCACAAGAAAACTCCAAGTATGTTTGCAATTTGTCTCCAACAGTATAGCCAAAAAGATGTACTCCGTCATGTGAGTCATCTTTAAATTTCCTATCCCATTAGCTTTATTAATTTGATTTTACTATTTTAGAGAACACAATGAGGTTACCAAAGTCCTCAAGGAATTGCAAGTGTGGCAAGAGGCACCCATACCGGGTGGGCTTCCTGGATGGATTCTCAATCCAATTTTCAAGAAGAACTGCCGCATGGCACTGTTGGGAGGGTAAAAATTGATTGAAAATCTTCTTTTCATTCACCAAAATCTTTTTGAGTACTGACTTTATTTTTTTGCTTTCACAGAGGGAGAGCCAATTGCATCCAATCTCAGCTTGATGCTGACAGTAAGCCAAGAGACATCCCGTTTTTAGATCAGTATGCTACAGAGCGATGGGAATGTGTTTTGCACTACATGGTAGGATCCCAACAGCAGGAGGGAATATCAGCAGATGCTGTAAGATTACTGCTGCATGCCAGACTTATGAAACGGTGAGCCCAATGTGCTTGATACCTGACTCCGATTAGATTAGATTTGTATCTTTTTCAAATTAGTTATGTATTGTTAATAATTATTGTATTTAGAGATGAGGAAGATGGCAGTCCAGTTATCACAAGAGAAGGATTTCAGTTTCTTCTGATGGATACTGCACAACAAGTTTGGCACTTTATTTTGCAGTATCTTGATACTGTACAAGAACACAATCTAGATCTTGTGGAATGTCTTACATTTCTCTTCCAGTTAAGTTTTAGTACACTTGGTAAGGTAAGTGTGTAGGAAAGAAAATTTATCATTGAGTGTCCACCAGAAGTTACCAACCACCCAATGATTTTCAGTAAACATTATATATGTTGTTATTTCAGGATTATAGCACTCAGGGAATGAGTGAAGCAATGTTGAAATTCTTACAACATCTTCGAGAATTTGGATTAGTCTACCAACGAAAGGTCTGTACAATTAATAATTGAAGCATTTTCTCTGTGTGTATATTGGAGAGTTTTTTTATAATGTTTTTCTTCTTCTTACTGTTGTATAGAGGAAGGGAGGTAGATTTTATCCCACTCGTTTGGCTTTAAATATAGCAGCTGGCCAAACTAGTGCCCCTGGGGACATAGAGCGTGTGGGATACATTGTAGTAGAGACTAACTACAGAGTGTATGCTTACACAGACTCAAATTTGCAGGTGGCTTTAGTTGCTCTGTTCTGTGAGATGATGTACAGGTGAGACTTTATTAATTAATATTAGAATTGTGCATGAATGATCTATTCATGAGCTGAATTGTTTACCCTCACCATGCATGGTTCTTCCAGGTTCCCAAACTTAGCTGTTGGTATTCTAACTAGAGATTCAGTGCGACAAGCTCTGAGAAGTGGAATCACAGCAGAACAAATGATTAATTTCTTGAGGCTGCATGCACATCCTCGCATGGTGGCAAATGGGCCCCCAGTATTACCCCCCACTGTTGTTGATCAGATCAAATTGTGGGAAAATGAGCGTGATAGATTTAACTTTTCAGAGGGAGTTTTATATAGCCAGTTCCTATCGCAACAAGATTTCCAGGTTTGTTCTTTAATTCCTGCTAGAAATTGTTACCAAGTGGTGTATATTTTTGGGTGATAATCCTTTTTCTGTCAATTCTAGGTACTTCGAGATCATGCTCAAGACCAAGGTGTACTAATATGGCAAAATGAACGACAGAGAACAATGGTTGTGACCAAAGGAGGGCATGATGATGTGAAAAGATTTTGGAAAAGATACAACAGAGGAAACGATTAAATTCATTAACTTGTCTATGTTTATTAAATCACTTAAAACAGTATATCAGTCTGGTTATTACTAAAAATATGAAATAGACTTCAACAGTTTTATTTGGAAAACAAATTTTACTTAACTAAAATACTGAAAACAACCAACTTAAGAAAATTGTCTTTGGAATGAGGAAAAATCTGTAGAGCATTAAGATTGTCCTCTCAGTGCTTCAAACTCAACAACAGCTTTGTACTGGGCAGCCCAAGATTCGATTTTATCACGGCCATAAATCTAAAACACATCAAAGGGTTCAAATTTGATATCTTTTAAGAAGGTTAACAGGTTAAGCATATTTAAACTTACTTCTGTAGCGAATTTTAATGTTTCCCTAGGACACACTTCTTCAATTGCTCGGACACCCCAACGATATTCATATTTAGGAGGGTCAGTGTTGTCAATTCTCACAACATCCAGGTACTTCTGAGTTTTAAACAACTGCAACATAGATGCATGTTATACACATACTGCTCCTGTTATTATACAGCAAGGGAAACTAGAGTCAAAAAACTTGTTTACCTCTAATACTTTTTTAACATCACCAAAATGATCATGAATTTCTGTAGGATCAATGTCAAGTAGTTGTAAAAAACCATGGATTTTGCCTGCCGAGCAAGAGAGACATATCATTACTTAAATTACCTGAAAAATGTATATGTAAAGCAGACTAGCTTTGCATAAGCTCAGACTTAAACTAGACGAGTAAGGAATATAAATTGCAAACATCACTCAAAATCAGTTAGATAATTTATCATCATTGCTTTACAATGGTTCTATAAAAGATCTGTATTTAAAAAAAAGAAAAAAAACTTACTTTGTTCTACCCCACAATCTCTCCACCTTCCATTAGTTTGCATGAATAAAATAGTTAAAATAATGGTAAGTAGCGTCATTTCAGCTTGAGTAGTTGGTGAGAGGGCAATATGCTCTTGGAATTTCATGTTGTTTATCAACAGGTACTGTTTAGGATTCTTGGAGTGGTCTTCAACCAGTTTTATACCATACACCTGGAAAACAGATTAAGTGTGGCAATAAGAAAAAAGTTCTACAATTGTCAGGACACATTTATGACATGGCAAGTAAATAATTTTAGTTCACACATACGTCTTTAAGCATTTTCCCAGCCAACTGTATCACTTGCCCAGTATTCTTTGAAATGTTCTTCGTCACATTCCTAACAATATCACTGTGCTTAATCGGAACTTTGTCAAAGTCATTCATCAACATATACCTTACAGCAGTTCTTGCAAGCTCTTTAATTTCACCAGTACCGACATATTGAGACTGTGATCGTGGGGTGCCTTGAGAGCCTTGAGACAGTCGTTGAGATGAAGGTTGAGATTTAGACATGGTCACAGTTTACCTGGAATAGTGAGGAAAGGCTGGTGTATCCAAGACAATAAGAACAGTGCTGTACTGTTAAATTAATTCTCGAAACGAAGAAATGGCTCATAAAACATGAATAATAAACAGATTTTTAATACCTTGAAAATTTGTTCAGAGTGCATTAACCAACATAAACAACAACCATGAAAAGGTTTAGGTTAGATTAGGCACTACCGTTTAGACATGGTTAAGAACTAGAACTATCAAACTATGGAAAGGCAAAAGTATGATACTCACATGAATGCAAACCTCAGAAAGTGTTAAAAGTTGGTGTTCAAAAAATAGGAAGTCTAAAATGCATTTACAGTTTATCGGTCGAGATACATCTAGAGAAATCTCCCTCCAAATAGACCCACTGTTACCATCCCATGTATGTAAACAATTCCAACGTTTATGGTAGAAATTTTAATGAAGTTACTTTAATCATCTTGAATTTTATTTTTGGAAGTATTTGTCATGTTATTACTTGATTGCACCCGTCTCTTGATTTGCATGAGAATATGGTGACTGTGTTGTGGGACGGTGGTACGAGTTGTGCGCGCGATTCAAAATGCAAGAGAAGGGAGGGGTACCAAATACAACAAACTGATAGACATGAAAGGTGATTTATTTATTTCTAAAATATCAAAGAACACTTCCTAAGCATTAAAGAAAAAGAAACCTAATAATAACATAATGTGTGGCATGAAATAAGTCAGTAATCAGTCTTAACTTTCTCGCACTAGACTACACGAAAATAAAGTACCTAGGCATATGGAATTTGGCTTCGAAAAACAAGATTGCTTCTTAAATTAAGGCAACAGAACACGTGAAGTATGCAGAAGATTCGTGAAACTCTCAAACCACTTATTTTTCCATCTTCTCATCATCCTGCTTCAGCGCCCGGCCTTCCTTGTGCTGAATGGCTGCCGGCTGCTGCGTCTGGGTAATGGGCACGCTCCTGGTGTTGGCTGCAGGCGGCAGGGCCTTCTTGGGGGCGGTCACCACCAGGACGCCGTCAGAGGAGAGAGACGACGCCACGGTGTCCGGGTCCACGCTGTCGGGCAGCTTGTAACGGCGGCTGAAGGAGCGCGAGATGTAGCCGTGCTCGTCCTGGCGCTCCTCGTGGCTCCCTTCCACCACGACGTAGCCGTCAACCACCTTGACGGCGAGCTCCTCCGGCTTGAACTGCTTCACGTCCAGGTTGATGCGCACGGCGTCCTTGTCGTCGACGAGGTGCGACACGCCGCTCTGGCGGTGGTGCTGGGCGCGCCAGGGCCGCAGGTAGTGGGTGGACAGCAGGGGCGCCGCGACGGAGGACAGCGACGGCGACAAGAGGTCGTCGCGGAGCAGCACGTCCCCGAAGTACTGGTCGAAGAGGTTGGCTGGGCGGCGGAGGCTGTCCAGCTCGCTAAGCAGAACGGGCAGGAGAGACATCTGCAACGGGAGAGCAGGAACATGATGGTCACTTCGGGTGACGACGTAGAGAAGGGGGATGGGGAAGGACCTGATGGCAGCAGAACTTACCGTGAGCAATTTACTCGATGAGAGAATGAAGAGTCGACAACGACGGGCGTAACCGCAGAGGTAGGTATCGCAGGGAATTCCCTCGGAGGGCGAACTAGAGCGTCACTCGGTGATCCGCTTGGCACGCTGGCTCAGGAGAGACTGATGCCGGCCGGCCGGCGAGCGAACGCTTTTATGGGCGGAGCGAAGGGGAGGGGGGCGCTGCTAAGGGCGAAACACCGCGAAGCTTCCTGAACTTCCCGAACCGACGAGAGCGCTCCCCACCACCCACCTACGAGGGGGAAGAAAAGGGAAGAGGGAGGGGTGGAAGCGTCGAGAGCGACGCCTTTTGGCTCACCCTCTCACAATATTTACTGTTAACGTTTTATCGTTATCACTTGAAGAGATGAATATAGGGATGAGAACAATCTCATGGATGACCGAACCAACGCGAGATGACGTGTGGACGAGGTGAAAGAGTGAATAAGCCCTTGTACCATCAAATTTGGTGGCTACAACCTAAGATGACTATATATCTTCTTTTATTTTGCACAGAAAATCTTTACACTTAACACGTTCCTACCGGCTCATTTTTTGCACCTCTGACATAACATGGGAGCGTGGCCACAAAGTGGTCACGCCATAAGGAACCCATTAATGACTGACGTGAGTGATTTCATATATGGTATTTGCGTTATTTAACAGGGTGTATTGTGATCACATGGTGATCACGCCGCCGACGGTGTTAAATATGCCAAATAAATTTCACCATTTACGAAATACTCAACAGAATTGGCCAAGTTGAACTCGAAGTTGAACTTATTTCGAATCCCTTATGTCAAATTGACGTCAAATAAATGGAACGTGATTTTTTTTGTCACCCTGAATGCGCTTCTTCGCGGACTCTCCGTGTTTACTGAAGTTTCTTTTGATTTTTAGCGATATTTTGCTTGACGCCGTCCTGTCAGCCTGGGACGCCGGGTAGGTAGGCATCCCATCGTACCGAAACCCGTCGTCTCGCACTGTAGCGTCTACTCCGAAATTTCTCCTCTACCATGATTATTCGATTATTCTGTACCAAAGGCTCGAGCCTGAAAAGTATTGTATACCGTACTGATGTGCAATTATTTTGTTCGCTCCATCCAAGTTCGTATAACTTCTCGACGAGACGGTCGCGCCTTTACCGGACGTTTCCAGATCTTTCTCATCGTCTCTCTGCCGCTAATGCCGCCGATCCCTACAATGCACTAAGTAAGAAAACGTAAAGAAAATATAAACTTTCGACTTTTGAACATGCGTGTGGTGTGATTTGTTCCTAAAATGGGTGACCGGAACATTTATGTGTGATTGAAGCCCGCAGGAATTGCTGCATGTCTCAAAACTTCTGGAACACCGCGCGTCTCCTCGAACAGTCTAGAACAATCAAGGCGCATATCCCGGCGCTGGTCTACCGTGAGGCCGGAGCACATTTTCAAGTCACACGATGCTAGATTCCTAGACAGACCAAACTGCGAATCAAACGTTGTACAACTTGAATTGCTCCCCCGCAACCAGTTCAAATTACACCGCACCGGTGATAGGACAAGCTAAGCTATTGGCAGCTCGCTACTCGCAGTCATTTTCCCTATTTCCACACCTCGCTTATTTCCACGAGATACGCACGGTGGGTGGTGTAAGGTTAGGTTCTTCGAGGGTGCTCAATGTTTACATAGAATTTCTAATTGAAAAAGGGGAAAGCTGCTTTGACTTCGTGGTGTATGTCCCAAAACTTTAATCTCTCAATCAAAATATTAGCATAGTCGTTAAAATAATCAAAGGTCTAAAGTTAGTGCTTATTTTGTAGAAATACTTCAGCATGGCTATCCCAACAGAGGAATTGGGTGAACTTGCGAAAGACGAAGCTTTTAAATCTGTTATAAATAAATTTCATATGTCTGTCGACAAAGTCGGAGACGCTCTAGAACTTTGCTGTGGTCGGGATGTTTATGCAGACTTGTCACCAGAAGAAAGAGTAGAATATGACCTTTTTCTCTCTTACTCTCTTAATTCACTGTTTTGGAGTTATCTTCGAACACAAGGAGTCGACCCTCTGAAACATGGTGTCAAGGTAATATGTTCTTTTCAAATTAATGTAAATAATTATTTTTTCACCCGTTTGATAACGATCCCTTTACAGAATGAGCTCGACCGGGTGAAGAGTTACATGACACGCGCCAAACAAGTCCGTGAGAAACAGAGCATGCCAAGGATAGATAAAGAAGCTGCAGAGCGGTTTGTCACTAGCGGCTTATGGGAGCCTGGCCAGGCTAAAATAAAATCAGGCTCAGGAAATGGAGTCAATAAAAGAAAGAGGCTTGAAAGTGACAGCGAAGAAGAGACTTGACTTCCAGTTCAAATTTTGTAATTTACTGTAAATAAACCATTAATTATCTGTTAAGTTATGTGGACTGGCCTCCTCTCATTCGTTAGTCAGAATTTTTAAAAGCCTTATGTGAAGTAACGGGTCAACAAAAATAGTTTTTATTGTTAATTATAGGCAGTACATGTTACAGATAGTTACAGAGTATATGGTAAAAGGGGCCAGCCTTTTTGTGATGAGAAAACACTTCATAACGAATGGATAGTAAATTTATTATTAATTATAAAATTTCTTTTTGATGGGTGTCATTACTTCTTTGTTGTCTCCTAATGTCAGAGGGGCCAAAATTCTCTCCTCAACCTGTTAAAAAAGTGGCATAGAGTCACAGTTTCAGTTTATGGACTAGAAATATAGACACACTTAAACCTCCGTGTACTCACTGTTGTTTTCAAACACTTCAGATTATTAGTTTTAGCTCTGTCCATACCGGAGTTGAGTATCAACTGAACTGTATCTTCATACAAGCTGTGGTGTTTTACATTATGAATATCTCTGAATACTCTGTCCCATTCAGACAGCAAAACATGACCCTGAACCTAATTAAAAATAAAACAATAAAATTGTAAGTGGTTGGAAGAGCTCTAGAAAGAAAAGTTAACATTAGGCAAATTGATAATTCCTACCTTAATGTTGAATGCCAATTCTGACTCAATGACTTTCCTGGCCACCAGTGATATGGCAGTATTTATGGATTTGTTTTTTAAAGCAAAACCAGCAACAATGGTTTCTACTTTTCCCTTATAATTAGGATTTACATAAAGTTTCTTACAACACAGTAAGGCCTTGTCCAAAGCATCTTTTGTGCCCTATAGATAAAAATATTAAAATCAATGAAATGCTGGAAAGAAAATTAAAAAATGCTAGAATATCACATGATCACCATGACCATTACCTGTTTGTAAAGACTAATCACATACAGCATCGGAACTAATGGATGTCTTAGAACATAGTACCATTCCTTATCACACAAAAATTCATAAACAGAGCTTGCCTCTTCAAAATATCCAGTCTCGATCAACAAGTCCATAAGAATGATAACCGACATGGCATCATCAGTTTGTTTCACAAATTTGGGGTTCTTAAAAATCTGAAAGAGATTTTGCATAAAGAATTCACATATACAGAAAAAAATATTAAGAAATTCAAATTGTGGTGGATGCTTACTTCTAAAGCTAGTAGTGGTTTGTTTAAATAGTGGCATGTCCTCATCATTACAGGACCAAATTTGAATGAAGTGAACAGAGATGTTTCTTCAAAGTACCTGAAAGTAAAGTTGGTTAAGATAATATTTCAGGGTGTTGATTACAGAATACAAATGGCAACACACTCACTTCTCTGATAACTCTACTATTGTTGATAACTCATGTTCTTTGGCTAAAATCCATGCCAGTTTGAGGTCCTCTTCAAAAACATTATTCTCTGACAAGAGTCGAAGCCAGAAGGACTCCATGTTACTGACTCTCGATGCAAACCTTTCCTTTTCTTTGTCATAATTATCCAACTTCAGGAAAGCTCGGTCACAAATAAACCTCGACACTGTACCTGGAAAAAAAAAATGAGTATCAGGACGGTATTATCCAGGCCACCAATTGAAGCTGTATCCATTCTGTCACACAAGTCGGGTTAAAAGTAAATCAAATCATGGATGGAAACAAAATGATCCCTCTCAATGACAATCTAAAAGGATAAAATCCAAATACCCTTGAGCCCTTGCTGACAACTCAAGGAAATCAAGCACCACTCAGCACTTACATTGAACTAGGGGAAAACAGTGCTTCTTTGTGATGAGTGTGAATGGTGGAATCAAACTCCGAATAGTCCTTGAAATCATTTCCTAGAAAATGAATTGTTCTTCCTTTTAATGTGAAAAAGTCGCTTCATGGAAAACGCGGAATTGACAACAATAACATTGTACATCTGCTGAAAGGAAAGGAAATAGCAGACAGCAGACAGGACCGGAGTTTTCCCTGCAGATTCACATTACTGTCCAAATGCCAAAACTTGTATTGGCAAGGCGCAAGGCTATACTGCTCATTGCAAGTTTAAATCGTTTGAACTTTGAAATACAGGCGAAAATCCACGCACAAGCAAAACGAAGAAGTGAAACGTTTTTTTCTTCTGTTTTTCTTATTCTAAAGAGTGAGTAAATATTCTGATATTTTGGACTCTATGGGCCTGTCCAGATAGCAACGGCCGTAGGCCGTAGCGCCGCAGGCCGTGACGGCAGTACGGCCGCGACGGCGCCACCGGCGGCGCGCGGCGCGATTTTTGAATATAACATCTAAAACAACTTGATTTCTTCGACAGTTATCGTCTAATAAACATTTTGCAACGCAGTGCAACGTCAGAACAACTAAATATGATTACGCAGATAGCACAAAAATCAGGTATTATGCACCAGCGTATACACGCTCGATGAAAGATAGGCGTTGGTGACCAGGTTGGGTTAGATTCAACATGAGATCAGAAAATTTGTATTTTTCTACTTGATGACTACTTGCAGATATTTTTTCCACCTTTTATCACTCCACACTAGCTATGCCTGTGTCGACAAGTTTAAATTTTCGCTAATCATCAAGGAAACTAAGTTGTATGGGATGTTATTCAAAAACCGCGCCACGCGCGCTGCCAGTGGCGCTGTCACGGCCGTACGGCCGTGACGGCTTACGGCGCTACGGCCTACGGCCGTCGCTATCTGGACAGGCCCTATGGCCAAATAGCTGTTACAGTTTTTCATACAACAGACCCCAGCGCTCTTCTGCGATTCGTCACAGGCCGAGACATTTTGAAGAAGACAAGAAGTCAGACGAAGACTGAATGATCAGCTCTTCTATAATTATAGTTTCTTTCGGTGCGGACGTAGCGATAGAGCGGTTCATACATTGCAGGTGTGAGTGGAAGAGATCGTCTGGAACCAACAAATAAAACGACTAAAATGACGTCGAGGATCATCGCCAGCGTCGAGAAGCACCTCAACGACGAGAGCAAACCCTGGGCCAAATGGTTGGCCCTCGGCGAGGAGAAGACCGGTTTGAAGAGGCTCTACCTTTTCGGAAGTAAGTTCCAAATTTCGCCCCATTCATTTCCCCGGGCGGTGGACCCTCGGCCGCCCAGGTACGTCGGGGCGCCGATATTCTTGGGCCGCCGTCTCGTCCGCATGACACTCGCGCTCGTTCGTTAAATCGCGCGGGAATGCGTGGCCGATAGCCTGAGGTGAACGCATTGTTCTTTAAAACCAGTCTGACGGGTCAGCGTCAGCATCTGTCTGTCAGCACGCTGGTACCAGCTGGAAGTGTCCTGCCCCTGAACTTTGACCTAGCGGGCGGCGGAGTGCGTTCGAGGCGTTTCGCTCAAGGATTTTTTTTCCCTTGCTCGCTCTGTTTCTCCCCCCCCCCCTCCCCCCTCTTCCTGATGCCCCGACCTACCATTACCTGTAGTGACGATACGTGTTTGATTACGGACCCTCCTCGCCTTTACCCGAATTTCAATGTCATGGCGTTTCTCTGCTGTAGTTCGTCATTGTACAGTCTTTAATGACTGTTTGGTGGGGCCCTCTTCGCACTAATCTTCCACTTAAGATAGGCTACATGCTTTTCCTCGATTCTTATCTCATTTATCACCTATCACAATAAGTTTATTGTTGCCCCATTTTGCTTGCTCTTAAATTATTTGCGCTACTCAGAATTTTTTTAACCTAAATCTCGTTTCTTTTCTTTTTTTCCCAGTTGCCCTTTTCCTGTTCTCCACTTACTTGGTCTTCGGATATGGAGCCCAGCTGTTGTGTAACTGCGTAGGATTTGCTTATCCTGCTTATGCATCAATCAAGGCCATTGAAAGTCCACAGAAAGGCGATGATACCAAATGGCTCACGTACTGGACTGTATTTGCTGGGTTCTCATTAGTAGAGTTCTTCTCCAACATCATTGTTGGATGGATCCCAGTTTACTGGCTTGTAAAGGTATGCTTGTAATTACGAGATGGGTCTGTATCTAGTTGTATCCAATAATTCTTGTCACCTGATTTCTTTATTTGAACTTTTGTAGTGCGTTTTTTTCGTTTGGCTCTTTGCACCTCTTGAAGACAATGGTTCAGTTGTCATCTACAACCGAATTATCAAACCCCGCTTTTTGAAATATGAGAGCAAAGTTGACAATGCTATGAGTGGTCTTGCTGACAAAGGTGAGTTTTTGACAAGTTACTTTGAGCGCGCTGATGTCAATCATAAGAGCTAAAGTATTTCTGTCTTTTTCAGTCACCAAAACTGTAACAAGCAATCTCTTTGAAGAGAACAGGAAGAGAGATTAATTGTACAGTATTATCTAAAGAAGACTGCGGGTCATGGGAGATGAGTAGGTCGTGTGTGAGTGAACTTATGGGGAGGGACATCAAACTCAGTTGAGTTGTTTCAACCTTGCCATACTTGTCTTTAAATGTGTTCACAGTGTATTTTATTGGTGTAAGAAATGTCTTGTTTTATTATTGATGTCAACAAAGTTGCATTTGTTTTCCGCTTCCCTACTATAAGTCTTCGTTAAAATTTTGTGTTTTAAGCCATCCTTGTTAAGCCATCCTTGTACAGTTTTCATTAAACACAGACTCTGAATTGAATGTTGTTTTCCAAGATATTTCTCCCACTTCCATTTCCTTAAATTATACCACCAGTTGTTCAAATCTAGAAAGGCAAAGATCTAAAGTAGATAAAATGTTGTGTTTCAGTCCTTTTCAATTCTTTCCCGCATTGTGAGGTCATTTGGCCGCGCTGGCTTTGAGCCAACATGACAACATTGCCATCATTAAAATAATTACACTCTAGCAAGTTGAAATAGAAACATGCAATCAAAATAATTATTCTGTAAAATGATTCGTTTTATCCTGAAGAACCGCTGATTGAATTATCATAGCAAGATGCACGATGTCACAAAGAACCTGTCACAAATGTGTCATGTTGGCAGCATGTGTAGGCGGAGCGGACACATCGCACCGCAGTAAAATTGAATCAGCAACGGTCATCGTGCCTATTGTGCCGGTTAGTCCCGTGCAGCCCTTGCGTTAAATTTAACCATTTCTCTGGATCTGAGATTAAGGAGTGAGTTCGAACATGGGCGAACTGTTGCCGGAACACACGAGCATCGCGCCGCCTTCATTCGAGGAGCGTAGGTTCATCAGATACCTGGGCTTCCTGCCGGCCGCAGCCGGGCCTACTGGATCAGCAGGTTATATCGCCTGGGAGCAGGAGATTGCCGAAGGTAAGGGCTTTACGTCAGGCTTCAGGGTTTGAACACGTCTCGGCGAGGTCACAGTGCCGCACAGTGCCGTTAACGGCCAGAGTACGCTGAGGCCGAGGGTTTGCCTGATCAGGCCTCATCTCTCACCTGCAGTGGCCTGCATCAGGCCGACCCTTAGCGAAGGCCATTGCCGGCTAAATGTGCAATAAGGCCGCTATCAGGCTGATCAGCACAAGTTTCCCGATTTTGTGGCACTCTGTGTCCCACCCGACAACAGTCGCAAAACCGGTACGGAACAGACGTTGGGTATCGCCACCAACCCCTCTACCATTGGGATGAAAACACATGTTTCGGGGTGCCACCCCGATACCTCAAGTGTCGCCATTTTACTTCTTCACGCCAGGCTCTGAAATAGCCCATTATCACTGCTTATCTTACCTTTCAGGCGGCGACGACGGACGTCAGCCGTGGTTCGGCACGGGGTCCGATGATGAGGCCCAGGGCGCATTTGACTGGCGAGGCCCGCCGTGTCCAGCCGAGGACAAGGACGTCGTGGTGGCGGCGTCGCAAAGTGAGGACGACGAGGATGTGGACGTCATTGCGCGGCGCTGGCCCGGCCTGTGTCGGGGTAAGTTTGGATTTGCAACAACTGCACTCACCGACGGGCGTGTCTGCCTGATAAAGCATTTCACGCGAATTCAGTGCGCATTTGGCACAATTAATGCGCCACCAACTGTGTCACATTTTATGATCAATTCTACGGGGAGGGGGTGGGGGTGGGGGCTACGACGCGCCCGCCTCGCTTATAGAGCAGGAACACTCGAGGTCTCGAGGGTGGCGCTCTCCGGTAGCGCCTGCAGTACGCTGGGTAGGCCGACCCGCCAAGCAGCTGTGCGGAGCTGACGGCCCGCCCTGAGCGCCTACCACCCGACTCCCGACATCTCTGCTCCGATCACGTGGGGGACACTCGCGACGCGAATGTCCACATCCCCCCCC